ATGCACTTTTATATATATGTATATGTGTATATATATATATATGAAATTGAAAAGGAAAAATTAATACTTTTGGCATTTTAGAATTATTTGTAAAATTGTTAAAAATAGTCTTAATTAATCTTTCTCACATGTTTGAACTATAAAGAGTATTTGACATTTTAATTTTCAAAAGGATTGATTTTGCCAACAACTAATTAGTTTAATCATAACCTCTTTCTAACAAAAATAAAAAATTTTAAACTTAAATTAACACGAGGATAGTCCCACCGTGCATTCCAAGATATTTTTAGTTTCCTAACTCACTACTGACGGAAGTGTGTCTTATGGACCTAGAAAAAAAAAATGCTTTATCATCATAACACTAACTCTCCTTTATTTTATTGTCTGATTAGAAATAACTTTCAGTTATTCACTAAAAACTAAACCAAACATAACCTTAATTTTTACATAAAAACATGACCTTGCTTAAAAATATGAGGTTCCTATAGTATCCGATAAAGATAATATTATATGTGTGGATCATCTTCCTTCTCTACAACTATTAGTTTGGTTTTTGAATCAAATCCTATCATGTCATTTTTGTTGCTGTGATGATAAGATTAGTTGGTCTATCTACAAAAATAATGATCATGTGACATCAAAAGTCAAATACAAACTCTATACCATTTTAATCATGAATTCTAAAAAATTCTCTCTTTTAAAAACCAAAATTGAAACCTAAACTAAGTACAAAAACTTTATTTATATAAATTTTTTATCCAATAATGAGTCACACAACACCTTGGAATTCTCATATTCCTCCCTACTAGTCCTAATTATATGAAAATTTGAAGCCTCTGATATAAAAAAGTTTTAATTCTTCACCTTAATATTATATATATATATATGATTAGGTTATAGCTTGATCCACCTCACAGCTCAATTAAAAGCAAATGGCTCTCAATAAGATTAAGAAATTTATGTTAGATACACTTCAGCATTTTTTTTTATTAATTTAATGAAATTTTATCAAATTTCCAAAAAAACTCAATTTGAAGTATACTTCAACAGCTAGATGATCCTATAATTAGGACAACCGACTTTTGAGTTTTAATAATGGAATTTCCTTATCAAATACCAGAATCAAATAATTTTGAAACAGTAGAACTGTAGAAGCAACAAAATAATTAAAGCAAGACTTTATACAAACAACAGTTTGATGAAAATGCTCCCTCATTATGGTGTTTCCCATAATAACACAAGTAGTGGGCAAAGCAATGGATAAAAGTGACCCACCTTGTTTTGCCTCAATCAACCTTCTAGTTACCCGATTGGATTGAAACCAAACCCGACTACATCCATGCGCATGCTCTCCTTCAAACCAGAAAACTTTTCCACTCGGGTCTCCACCCCAACAAACTTGGCCCATTTCCTCTGTTCTTCATGCACCCACCTGAACATTTGGCGCTGTCACATGCACATGGTCCACCTCTAGGGCCGGATTCATCTTTTCACTTACAATGGTTGGTTTGAAAGACGAAAAGGGGTGAAGATTATTTTATTTAATATACATTTTTAATTTTTAAATAAAACAGATTTAAATTAAAAAATTGAAAAGGAAAAAT